GGACACAGATGGAGACTGAGTACCCAAATGAGGCACAGGGACGTTAGAAATAAATTTTTCCAGTGTCCGGGTAGTTAACAGATGGAATGTCAATGTAAGTATAGTATGCTCATGTAAAATGTCTGTGTAAGTATAATATGGTCATGTAAAGTGTCAGTTTAAGTATAATATGGTCATGTAGAGTATGTCAGTGTAAGTATAGTATAGTCATGTAAAGTGTGCATTCAATACAGTGTTCGACTATATATTTTAGTAACTAAATGTGGGAGGCCTTATCTTTATGGATGATACCTAGACAAGCAGATATGGACATGGATGAACACTCCTCGTGGTTGAGGCTGGCATCAACACATGTACTGGTTGTGCCAAGTAGTTGTTAACTGTGCTTCTTCTTCTTCAATTACACCTGTCATAGGGCACTCACAAATAATAGCAGTAACCTAATATGACAGTTATATCAGGGAACTATTATAATTTTTTAAATAAAGATCTGAGAATATTGCTCACCCTATTTTGTCTCGACTAGTGTTCTAACCGACTCACCCTATATCTACCTAACATAAAGTGTTCAATTAGTATTAAGCTTGTCATTTAAGTTTTTCATGCCCGAAACGCTTTGCGTAATAGTGGCTTTAGGCATTGTATGTACTAGCTCTATCTATAAGTCAACCAATCTTTGTAAATATTTCTTGTATGTATGTACCTTACCTAAATAAACATTTATTTATTTATTTTATTTATAACTGGCCAGGAATGTAAAGATAATAAATGGGTTTCAGGTAAGGACACCTCCCTGATTTGTAGACAAAGATCGTGTTGATAATGGGAGCACTTTACAACCCATAACACAGTTTTCCAAGGGAAAATTTATTGGAGCTCGATTTGCCCTGGTGAGACTTGTTAACTTTAAATGGTGATTCACTGTGGCCTTCTCCCACTGATGCCTTCTCTGTTTTGTCTAGATGTCTTCACGAGGGTAAGAGGGCCCATATTTACTCTATTTTGGTACTGATAATTAAGTTGATTAAATGGAAATATTTTTATGATGTTTACAGTCCAAAGACTGATGTATTAAGAATGTTTCCCATTATTTGGGGGTAAAACTAATAGCGACATGTGGCAATTATATTCCCCGTTTTCTACTGAAGAAAATAATCTGTGCTACATCTTCTATGAGTTAATTTGTTTATTACAAAAAAGGCAGCAATATTATCTGCATAATGTATTAAAAGTTAGTAAATGGTATCGGTTTTCCGACAAGTATACTATGATCATGTAAAGTATGTCATTGTAAATATAGTATGATCATGTAAAATATGTCAGTGTCTCTATAGGTATTCTTAATATTTATTAGGCTTTTATTCATATCATCTATGTTGAGGTAACATGTATTACAAGTTAGGTTTTGGGTCAGGATGGCTCAGTGTCTTTTAATCCTGTACACTCGTGACAGAGAATATGTTAATGTTTTAACATTAAAGCTTCGTTCCATCAGCTTGGCCAAAACATCTTTCCAGTCTAATTATGCAGCCCCTCTTCCTGTTTTAGTAGTACTTATAGTAACGATGAGCACCATAGTACATATATCGACTTACAACGCAAACCTAAAGTAGAAATCTGTTCTATTGAATTTGGACGAACCGGAAAAGGTTTTGTATTTATGTTGCTAAGACAACCTAAACTCACCTTATCAAACATTCCTAGGACTAATACACGCTAACTGAGGCCTAATATAGTACATATGTGTGCTATACTACGCATAGGAATATTTTAAAAAAATTGCTTAATTTTATTATAACTATATAATGAATAGTACCAAATTCTACTATATAATTGCTTAGCACGTCAATATTTATACTATGGTGTACATAGCTACAATAACTACTGTCTAAACAAGAGGATGGGTTGAATTATGATATATTTTATTATTTTCTGTCTAAAATAACTATGTTTTAAATTTCAGGGAAATTGATTGGTTAATAGCAAAACTACACTTATAAATATATAGAATCGGGTCCAAGAACTAACTTCTGATTAACTTTTAAGAAATATCTGCTCAAGTTTGTAGAGTTTAATTATATCCGTAAGAACTCTTTTAAGACTGCAGCGAGGATTAAAACTGAAAAAAATCGGCCATAAACTAGTCGCTGACAAATTTCGGTCTTTAAATGGACTTTGAAAAAATTTGGTCTCAAATTGAACTCTGAAAAAAATCAGCCTGAAACTATGTGACAGAGCGATGACTTCTTTGGAGTTCGCTAAATACAGTGGTCAGCAGCACTGACTTTTGGGAGTTCATTCAGTCTGGTGGTCGGCAACGAGAATTTTTTGGGAGTTCGCTCAATACCATGGTCTGCAGCAATGATTTAAAAAAAATTATTGCTAAGCTGTCAATCCTACTACTATAGACCTCCAGGAAGTACCAATAAGTAGTGCTGGACCACCAGGAAGTATCAATGTGTAGTGATAGACCACCAGAAAGTTAAATTTGTATTATTGAAGTTGGACACACCTAAAACTTCTTTACCCGCAACATAACTTTACCTGAATTTACTTGAGGAACACTAACACTCTAGTGGCCTCGACGAGGACAGGAAGCCGGTGACTTGTCAAAGGAACCCACAATTGTCCTGGTGATTTTTCAAACTGGATTTTAAAGTTCAAAAGAGTTTTGGGATTTACGGCTTCGGCGGGTAAGCGGTTCCGTGGATTTATTACCTGAGGGTCAAAAAGCATCTCCAGTTTTGTGTTCCACAATGTGGCTTGTTGAGCATGAACCCGTTGCTCCTTGTTTGTCTTACATCTGACCTTTTGAAGGAATTGTCTGGATAAACAGCTTTACAATTTGTTAAGTATTTTTAAGTGTCGACGAGATCCGCCCCGCGATGCCTGGTCTGTAGTGTTGATAGCCCTGTGGCCCCTCAACCCTTACTGGTAAGACAGCTCATGTCTTAGTATAAGACCTTACCAATACTAACCTCCACCAGCAATCCTGGTGGAGGTTATCCTAATATATATATATATATATATATATATATATATATATATATATATATATATATATATATATATATATATATATATATATATATATATATATATATATATGCAATATTAGGCCTATAAAAATTATGGTTTGGTTTTACTTATATTTGTTATTCACTCCTTAAATTAATAGTAGACAGCCTGGTGTAATGGTGCTCATTAGTTCTCTCGACCAAAACGTTACTTAAAGTACTATCGCCTCAGGAGTCTGCGTTGCTAGAAGCAATGTGTCATCTCCTTGTCTGTGTCACACTCACACTCACATTCCATAAATGTTTACCTTTACACTGACAACATTTATATAGAGATGCAAGTAAAACATCCTGACTACTCACCGCCTTAAGTTCCTCAGTGATTGTCTGTTCCAGTTTGAACCTTGGGAAGTGAAGTTCTACTTCCACCTCTTCCAGGTTGGTGAGGGCGTGGCGGAGGGTGTCGTGGGAGAGGCGCCGCAGCATGGCGTCCAGGGGCGTGGCGGACTTGCCAGGGGCGCCGCTGGGGGTGTTGTCTGGCAGCAACACCAACATGGACGCCGCCTTCCCCTTGTACGGCATCTCTAACACTTTCGCTCCCAGCTCACTCGAGGCTCCTGCAACCACAGACCACTGTAACCAGTGTTCACTCTCAGGACTGTCACACTTGTCTCCTACAACCACAGTCCACTGTAACCAGTGTTCACTCTCAGGGCTGTCACACTAGTCTACTGCAACCACAGTCCACTGTAACCAGTGTTTACTCTCAGGACTGTCTAAATATTATATATATATATTATATATATATATATATATATATATATATATATATATATATATATATATATATATATATATATATATATATATATATATATATATATATGTATTTATTTGAGCACAATTCAGCCCTCCGAATTGCTGTGGCCCTCCGCCTTGCTGCCCCAATCCACACCAGATATAGGTGTATTTGCGGCGAGGTGGTGGCTGACAGGTACAGCCACCATGGCCTACTCTGCCAAAGCACAGGGGCATGGCACTCGAGGCACAGTGAAGTTAACGACATCATCAAGAGGAGCCTCACCACAGCTGGATGCCCAGCTGAAAGAGAGCCCCGTTACCTAACGCCCCGTAACTCTGATGCTCTTATTGGTCGCCCGGATGGTATCACAGTGAACCCCTGGAAGAATGGCAAGCAGTTAGCATGGGACTACACGTGCGTATCAACCCTGGCTAACACCTACATTAACCTCAGTGTTGCACAACCAGGTGGCGCTGCCACCCACAGGGAAGCAGCCAAATCCCGTAAATATAGAGAACTGGATCACCACTACAATTTTGTCCCCATTGCTTCTGAGACACTCGGCGCCTAGGGTAAAAGTGCTACCAGTTTTTTGAAGGAACTGGGTTCTAGGCTCATTGAAACAACAAGGGACCCTAGAGCTGCCAGCTTTCTTTTCCAGCGCCTCAGCTTGGCGATACAGAGGGGAAATGCGCACTGCATCCAGGGTTCCTGCCCGCCATCTGAGGAGCTGGAGGAACTCGACAACCTATGATAACCATCTTTGTAACCTATATGTACCTTCTTTTTTGTAACAAGGTTCAAATAAAGCAAATATATATGTGTACATACAAAAGAATGGGGGTGGTAGGAGAAGATAATATTAGTGTTCAGTGACCACAAGGAGACCACAAGGTCTCCTCTGAATACTTTTTATTTTCTTCTCCGAGGCTATGGGTCCCCACATTGGCACCAGAGGTGGTACCCTCACAAATTTATATATATATATATATATATATATATATATATATATATATATATATATATATATATATATATATATATATATATATATATATATATATATATATATATATATATATATATATATATATATATATATATATATATATATATATATATATATATATATATATATATATATATACATACATATATATATATATACATATGCATATGTATATATAACCTTACCAAATCTGAATTTTCCAAGTTGGGTCATCATGTCAACAAGGCTGTGTTGGCTCGGGGTGGTGAAGAACTTCTGCTTGGTTGTTTGGGTTAGGTTGAATTGATTCAACCAGAAACCTTTGAAGTAGACGGCGTTGACCAACGCCATCAGTGTCGGTGCCACGTCGCTCTCTGTCACCACAGTTGGGATCTTGCCTCGCGTTGTTTTGTTCACAAACTGGTTGATTGTCGCAGCTGCTTTATCCGCCTGTCAAAATAACGATAAGATTAAGCTCAGTGCCTTTACGTGACTCTTCAATCCATCACATTATAAGCTGACCATCACATTATAAGCTGACAATAGTTTCTACCGACCTTTCAAGGGGGAGAGTTTAGAGAAGTAACATAAAGAAGTTCTTTGGATTTTAAGAAAAAGTTTTCTGAATCCAATTTCAGAGGATTGGAAGTTAACTGTTGTAGATAATATAAGCTCAGGTGTTCAGACAAGACCTTAGTGATGGTGCACAAGACACCATAACATAGTGGTAACAACAGCTCAGGTGTTCAGACAAGACCTTAGTGATGGTGCACAAGACACCATAACATGGTGGTGACCACAGCTCAGGTGTTCAGACAAGATCTTAGTGATGGTGCACAAGACACCATAACATGGTGGTGACCACAGCTCAGGTGTTCAGACAAGACCTTAGTGATGGTGCACAAGACACCATAACATGGTGTCGTGTGTCACCATCCTTGTCTCCCCAACCATCGGGTGGGGTGATGATACACGACCATCACCATAACCCTACCCTCCTCCTCATACCATTACCCTACCCTCCACCTCACACCATCACCCTACCTTCCCCCTCACACTCATCACCCTACCATCCCCCCACCATCAAGTATCCTACCCTGCTCTCACACTAGTGACGAGTTTAGGAGATATTTTAGAAGTACTCTATTCTGCTGTCACACTGGTAACGAGGCCAGGAGATACTCTTGAAGTACTCTATCCTGCTGTCACACTGGTATCGAGGCCAGGAGATCCTCTTGAAGTACTCTATCCTGCTGTCACACTGGTAACGAGGCCAGGAGATCCTCTTGAAGTACTCTATCCTGCTGTCACACTGGTAACGAGGCCAGGAGATCCTCTTGAAGTACTCTATCCTGCTGTCACACTGGTATCGAGGCCAGGAGATCCTCTTGAAGTACTCTATCCTGCTGTCACACTGGTAACGAGGCCAGGAGATACTCTTGAAGTACTCTATCCTGCTGTCACACTGGTAACGAGGCCAGGAGATACTCTTGAAGTACTCTATCCTGCTGTCACACTGGTAACGAGGCCAGGAGATACTCTTGAAGTACTCTATCCTGCTGTGACACTGGTAACGAGGCCAGGAGATCCTCTTGAAGTACTCTATCCTGCTGTCACACTGGTAACGAGGCCAGGAGATACTCTTGAAGTACTCTATCCTGCTGTCACACTGGTATCGAAGCCAGGAGATCCTCTTGAAGTACTCTATCCTGCTGTCACACTGGTATCGAGGCCAGGAGATACTCTTGAAGTGCTCTATCCTGCTGTCACACTGGTAACGAGGTCTTGAGAGACTCTGGCAGAACCCTACCCTACTGTCACAAAGGTGACGAGGCACCACTTGACAGCTTGTTTTCTAAAAATCACCACCTTCCTCGTCGCTTCCAGCTTGCCCTTGCCTCCCTGAAATCTAACAATCCTATTCTTATCCTTCCTTCCGACAAAGGCAATTCGGTGGTTGTCCTTGACCGTGAGGACTACCTCCAGAAAGCAGATGTCCTGCTCTCTGACTCCCGCACTTATGCCCACTAAACTTCTAACCCTTTGGATCGCCTTAAAGCTTCCTTTAACCGCAAACTAAGACAGCTCTCTAGTCTTTGTCCTCCTGACTTCGACCTCAATAAACGTTTCCGTGTCATCTGCCCTTCTCTTCCTTATTTCTATGGTCTATCTAAGACTCATAAACCTGGTGTTCCTCTTCGTCCAATCATTTATTCACGGGATCTTCTTGCCTCCTGGCTCGCTAAAACTCTGACGCCTTACCTTGGCACTTTTTCTCCTGCCCAGCTTCGTCACGCTCAGGACTTAATAGAGAGACTGCGCCTGCAGCCCTTCTGTAAGATGCTTAGTCTTGATGTCGACTCTCTGTTCACTAATGTTCCCCTCGATGACGTTCTCTCTTTCTTTAGACAGAAGGCGACTGAGGTCCTTCTTCGTCTCCCGCTTCCCACTGATGTTTTCCTTAAACTCATTAGACTCTGTATTGACTCTCCTTCTCTTTCAACAGTAAATATTAGACTCAAACTTTCGGTGTCGCTATGGGTTCCCCTCTCTCCCCTGTTCCTGCCAATTTCTACATGGAATACTTCGAGACTGTTCTTTTACTTCTTCCTTCTATTGATACTCGTCTCTCTCTCTGGCTTCGCTATGTTGATGACATATTTTCTTTATGACCTCATGACCTTAGTCTTTTCCAGCCTTTCCTCTCCTCTCTTAACAATCAGGCTCCTTCCATCCATTTCAAAGTTGAATGAGAATCTAATTCCCTCCTTCCTTTCCTTGACGTTCACGTTCACAGCTCTGTGTCCGGGTTCTCTTTCTCTGTCTACAGCAAACCACTGCATAGCGGCATGTACATTCACTTCTTTTCCTACCATCCTCCTTCTGGTAAGAAAAGTGTCCTCGTCTCTCTCTTCCTCCGCGCTCTACGCATCAGCGACCCTCAGTTTCTTGATTCTGAAATTGCCTTTATCTACAAATCATTCTCTCGCCTTGGTTACCCTTTGTATTTTATATACTGTGCCTACTCTCAATAAGTAAGTAATTATCAAAAGAAGGCACCAAACCGGGAAGGCTATGTAGCACCATCAAATACGCAAAATAATCAGAGGGCGCTAAATATCACCAAGGATGCCAATACGAGAACAAAAACGCATAAGGCGAACGATATCAAAAGTATCCGAGTCACCAAGAATTCTATCGAGGGACAGGTGACCGTGAGGGGCGGTCGGAAAGCAAGACACACGCTCGTCCTGGAAGTCAGGACATTCAAGAAGGACATGCACGACCGTAAGAGGGACAATGCAACTAGGACAATAAGGAGCAGGGCGGCGCTCCATCAAGTGACCATGGGTTAAGCGAGTATGGCCAATACGCAACCTCGCCAGAGCTGTTTCCCACCGCCGGTTACGGCGGAAGGAGGACGGCCACGAGGAAACACAACATTTAAGAGTACGTAGCTTGTTACCAGTAACAGACAACCAAGAAGCCTGCCAACGGGTAAGAACTGAGGAATGGATAACCGGGTAAAAGTCGGAATACGGAATGCCTTTACGAGAGATGGGACAAGAGCGGACAGCTTCCTTAGCGGCAGCATCCGCACGCTCATTTAAAGACACACCAATATGGCTGGGAACCCAACAAAACTCAACCGACTTAAATTTACTGTGAACGAGAAACAGCCAATGCTGGATCTCGACAACTACTGGATGAACCGGATTAAAGGACCCGAGAGCCATGAGGGCACTACGAGAGTCAACAACAACCACAAAGGAAGACTGACAACGAGAAAGCAGGAGACGAAGAGCATAGAGAATAGCATAAAGTTCCGCTGTAAAGATGCTAGTCTCCGGAGGCAAGCGACACATATAAGTGCGATCAGGAAAAACAACAGAGTAGCCAACACCGTCCGCTGACTTAGACCCATCGGTGAAGACAGAAACGGAGCGGGAGTGAGAAGAAAAGTGCTCGAGGAAAAGGCGTTTTAGAACCGTAGGAGGGGTAAAAGCTTTAGTGATACGAGTCAAGGAAGTACAAAACCGCGGAAGAGGGACCCTCCACGGGGGCAAAGAAGGAACAACACTAGGAGAAACATCAGAAATACGAACGGAGAGAGAATCCTGTAGGCGAGATAACCGGACAGAAAGAGGGAGGTGGTGAAGAGGAACAGGTACCGCAGGAGGGGTAAAAGTTAATAAAGCAAGGAGAGTGCGCCTATCTGCCCCCCAAGAAGTATGGGACAAGACCCGAAGGAGGGTAAGGGCCTTAGAGCACTCAACACGGAGGTAAGAGATATGGGGAGACCAAGACAAACGAGTGTCAAGGAATAACCCCAAAAGCTTCGCGGAATCTTTGTATTCAAGGGGATGACCATAAAGTGACAAAGAGGGACGAAGAACAACCCGTTTCCACGTAAAAGTCATGGCACAAGTCTTAGAAGTAGAGAACTTGAAGCCATGACCTGTGGCCCAAGACGACACGGCATCAATTGCAAGTTGAAGCCGGCTTTGAAGGAGAGGCGAATCATCACCCTGACAACAAAGGGTAAGATCATCGACATAGAGAGCGGAGAAGACATCAGAAGGAAGAGAGGAAAGAAGACCATTGAGGGCAACAAGAAAAAGAGTAGTGCTCAGAACACTACCCTGGGGCACACCTTCGTATTGCTGAAAAGAGGGAGAGAGAGCGGTACCAAGGCGCACCCGAAAGGAACGACGAGAGAGGAAGCTGCGGAGAAAGAGAGGGAGATGACCACGAAGGCCAAAAGAATGAAGTTGAGATAGGATATGATAACGCCAAGTGGTGTCGTAAGCCTTTTCTAGGTCAAAAAGGACGGCAACAACGGAGGTCTTCGCAGCAAAAGCAGTACGAATATAGACCTCCAAGTTCACCAGGACATCTGTCGTGCTGCGGCACTTGCGGAAACCAAATTGAGAAGGGGAGAGGAGGTGATGATGTTCGAGGAACCACATCAGACGAACGTTAACCATACGTTCAAAGAGTTTGCAGACACAACTTGTGAGAGCAATAGGATGAAAGTCCTTAGGGGAAGTACCCAGAGACCCCGGTTTGCGAACAGGGAGGACAACGGCATCGAGCCAGTCCTCAGGGACTGACGACGACTCCCAGATCCGATTATACAGACTCAGTAAATACTGAGACGTGCTCGGAGGGAGATGGCGAAGCATCTCATAA